TTATTATTATTATTAAACAAGATTATTAAAAGATTTTTATTAAAAAGCGTTTTTTTTTTCTTCTTACAGGGCTCTTATTGTGAATAAAAACGACCAAAAAGGGAACTGAGGGCACAGTTCTTGATTATTCTGATTTTTTTCTTTTACAATTCTGAATTGATTTGTAAATCATTTATTTCATTGATTGGCTCTGAAATAGTGCGTACCTGGTGAATCGATAAAATGGCCACACCCTTTTAATTTGGTATTTGATGAGACTGGATTTTTTTTAACACACAGGCATTTCATTTTGAGATCTACGTGAGTGGAGAGTCTGTGACTAGAGATAAGGAAGAGTCGTTTTGAATGTGCGTATGTGCATGAGATAACCAGCAGCTGAGATCACAAGAATAACTCATTTCTCAAGGATTTAAACATTGAAATAAAGATGCACTCTACAATCATATGCTTACGTTTTTATATGCAAAGGCATTATCCTTGTCATACTATGCTGATCCTCCTTTAAAGTGTCATACTAAGTTTTGTAACTCTTTTCATAAAAAGAGGGCGTATGTTGTGCTACAAGTGTTTTGCCACTTGCATTAAAACGTCATCTAACTTCTAGAGCAATGCAACGTGCAAAATCACTACATCTACATTAGCGTCCTGCCCACGAGAAGCTCCAGCTAATCAAACGAGCCCTCTTGTATTGGCGATGCAACCCGATGACATAAATAGCGTCGACAAGAGTGGAAAGGTATGATTCTTATTCCTAACGGAAAACAAAAATCATAAACTGACGATATGGTTGTGTGGACCGACCAGGAGCGTGCCTGCATCCAGGACATTTTCAGCAAGCTGAATTATGAGGATGCTGGCCCCAAAGCTTTGCACAGGTATGGTGCTCATGCTATTGTGCTCATCATTATCATAATTTATGCAAGTTTATTAAAAAAAAACAGGCATATTTCTTTTCAGTTTTATTTTATTCACTTTCTTTGTATGCTGTATATTATGTTGTATTGCAGGGCCTTGGTTGTGTATCCCTGGACTCAGCGGTACTTCGCAAGTTTTGGAAAGCTGTACAATGCAGAGGCCATCATGTTCAATCCAAAGGTGGCAGCCCACAGAGTTGTTGTGCTCCACGGGCTTGACAGAGCCATGAAGAACATGGATGATATCAAGAACACCTATGCCGAACTGAGCGTGCTGCACTCCGAGAAACTCCACGTGGATCCTGACAACTTCAGGGTATGCAAACACAGCAACATATAAAACTCATACAGATGCAGTCAGACTACCGGCGACTCACCTGTTGCGCTACACTCTTCTGCGTTTTCCTTTTCAGCTTTTGGCCGACTGCCTGCCCAGGTGAAAAAGACGTAGTATTAATTGTATTAAAAATATACTTGAAATTCAAGTAGTATGTTTATAATACATTTGTATTCCCAATATGCTCCATCGTGATTGCGGCGACTATGGGTACCTCTTTCACAGCTGATGTGCAGGCTGCCTGGCAGAATTTCCTCGCTGTTGTCGTCTCTGCTCTGCGCAGACAGTATCATTAAAACCTCTAATATATGGGGGAAAGCATTGTTTGTTCTCTAACACAATAAAGAGGAATTGATACGCACCTGAGCCGTGTGTTTAAACTGTTCATTGTGCGAGTATCAGGTATCATTAAATTGAAAACTCTGTCATCATTCTGTCAAAGACTCCAGGACTTTATCACAAAATTGTAATTTCAAACAAACAAATAAACAAACCCTCTAACACAAGAGGAATTGATACGCACCTGAGCCGTGTGTTTAAACTGTTCATTGTGCGAGTATCAGGTATCATTAAATTGAAAACTCTGTCATCATTCTGTCAAAGACTCCAGGACTTTATCACAAAATTGTAATTTCAAACAAACAAATAAACAAACAAACCAGAAGACAGAAGAAGGTCAAAGAAGATTTGGGTAATTGGAATGCTTTAGTAAAGCTTGTCTATTGAATTAGCCCAGACTTAACTGAACAAATGAAGATTGCTGTGGGATGCCATTAAAACTACACTAAAACGTCTCTGAAATATCTAGAGGGATAAACTAAACACAAGTAAATAGCACTGAGATTTACAGTAAAATGAAATAAACGAAAGTAAACGAGTTAAAGTTGAATAAGTGTCAATATAATTTAAAATGCCTTATCTGAGGTCTTCATCAGACAGGCTAATTAAAAGATTTATTGTTTCAGGAAACAGCTGATATAGGCTGGGTGTTTCCATTGCAAATCCTGCTTTTAATGTCATATTAATTAACTTGTCATTTTTGTATAGCCTAGGTCTGGTGGTATACAGGCTAGGGAGGAGCAACGAATTGGGGCAAAACTTTATAGAAAACATGGGCTTATTAAAAGGGGGTGTCTGCTTGGCTAAAGTGACACTTTCAGAAAAAAAGCTAAAAGTTCAAGTTTCAAAAGGTAGCCTACACCTTTGTACCTTATTTACCCCAAAGGGTGCCTATAAAAGGAACTCAGCGACGAAGCAATGATATAATTTATTTAGGCTAGTGTTCCTTTAACTCAGGAAACGTCAAACCAAATAACAAATATTAAATTGCAAGTATGCGCGGCTGTCCTGAGCATGTTGTTAACTTGTTGACAAACTATCTGTTGTGACTAATAAACATAATTTCAAAATGTCAAAATTACATGTATTTTTCTGTATTTTTGTATTACTCGCTGTCTGCACTTTTTATTTCATGAGCCACCCAAGTCTCAAGTCATAAAGATAGCATGGAATTTACTGTAGCATCACCCTATGTGAGAAGTCTTGCAGTTGTGAAAAATATAGTGTGTGTGTATATGTGTGTATAGTGTATATGTGTGTAAAATATAGATAAAAAACATTGTGGCTATATTCCTAGGGTAGTGAGAAATATTGAAGCCCATGTTCACAGAATGAAAACTCTATTTTTGTTGAAGCTAAAGATAATGCATCTATAATATATTTTATACCAATGGACAAGAAATCCAACTGACACAAGGGTGGAGATACAGTATGCTTTCAGGGGGGAAAAAAGTACCTTTAGGGGTACAACAGCTTGTCACTGGGCCAGTACCCTCAAAGCGACACCTTTACCCCTAAAGGGTGCATATATCTTAGAGTAGTATTATGTACCCTTAAGGTAACAGTATTCTTATGGTATACTCTTATGAACACTTTATGAGAAAAGAATATAAAATGTGTCCCTTTGAGGGCACTGCCTCAGTGGCAAGCTGTTGTAACCCTAAAGGTAAAAAACATTTTCTGAGAGGGTATAAAGACTCTACTTCCATCATTTAACAGCTTCCATCATTGTACCTCTTTTCAAGCAATGTGATGATTGATGAAGCAAACCTACAAAAATCATGAGTCTCTCTGCCAAAGACAAGGCCTTACTGCTTGAATTATTTTCCCTCAGTCAGATGACATTGGAAATAAGGCACTCTATTTAAGTCACATAACACAATTCAGTAGGATCGATTTGCTTCAATAAACAAACTGTTCTGGATGTTGAATGTAAACCTTCAGACAAAGTCCTAATTTTCCCACTGGAAACATACAAGTCCTCGATCAGCACCTGTCCAGAAGCATGGCATCACTGATATGAGTGGTGTATATGAGGCAGTTAACAAAATTGCAAACCGTACAAATGGTCTCCTCATCAGCCCAAGTGAGCTTTCATTCAGCTTGATCCCATCAACTTCCAGGTAGGTGATTTCATCTCCAACCTCTATAGTCTTCATGATCATAATCCTCAATTTTAGACCGGGTGATTGGAGACCTCCATGAATAGGCACGCTCACCATTACATTTTAAAGAACTGGAAATGTATTGACTACAGACATTGACTGTCTTCTCTGTTTTTCAACATATGTTGTCTCACTGCATCCTTGCGGTGTTGGGCATGATGTTTCTGAACAAGTTCACTCTTGCTTGGCTGTTGACAAGATTCTGGCCCTTATCTCTCTTTTCCAGTCTGTAAAATATCGGTAAACTTTGTTTGTTCCATTGATCTGGAGAAATAAAGTTGAACAATTAATCAAATATAACTGTTTTTGTGGTTTGATCTCATTAGCCGCGTTACCGCTGTTGGGACAAAAGCGGGCGTGCTAGTGCGTGCCAGGGCCCGTCACGTTTCCACTGTCACTTATGGGGCTTGATTGTGCCTCGTCGGTGCTTCCTCGAGGCCAACGGCCAGGGATTTTCGGCCCTCCGAATACCTTGGGCCAAAGTGGGCCAGCTGGGCCTACAGTGTGGTCATGAACAAGAACAAGGAGACAGTCGGTAGGATATAGGCTACCGCTTCTCATTTCCGTGTTTTCATATCAGCATTTAAAACATTTTAATCAAATAGTTTAATCAACTATTTTTCAACTATTTTAAAATTAACCTTCAGACGCTAGTGTCTTAAATAACTTAAGATTGCGATCCGATGGGAATTCTGTTCAGTGTGTGAGGCTGAAATATATTGGCCTATATGCAATGCTAAGGCTACGTATGCTAACCATCGGCCTAATAGGCCTAATAAATACACGTTCACACTGATATGAGTTCAGTGATTTCACACTGATTTCGTTTACAACGAAACACACAGCGTCACACACGGCGGTCTTGAGTGAGCGGAGGCCGGCGGGCTAGAGTGAAGAACGGCCGGCAGGCTTGAGTGAGCGGCAGCCGGCGGCCTAGAGTGAGGAACGGCCGGCGGGCTTGAGTGAGCGGCGGGCTAGAGTGAGGAACGGCCGGCAGGCTTGAGTGAGGAACGGCTGGTGGGCTTGAGAACGGCGCGGCCGGCGGATTCGACGAAGGAGCAGCCGGTGGGCTTGCGGCAACCACATGTGACGACCCCGGGCTGGACTCCGCTTCGTCCACGGTGAAAGCCAATCCGGCGATCCACAGCGCGAAGTT